GCCCTTTATTTGAATTTTGCAATGCAGTTTCATCCTCCAGAAATGTACATAGAAACTTACCTTTCCTAAGGAAAGTGAGCATAAAATGTAGATTCAGAGAAATGTTCTATACATATAGAACATCTAATGCAGAAATGCAATAAATTATAAAATAAGCACACCGATATGTGTCCATGCTATAAATCAATGTTTTTCATCCTTGATCAGTTTAAGATATGTTGGCCTCAATATGCTGGCTGAGGAATTCTGGGAGTTGAAGTCCACATGTCTTAATGTCTCCAAGTTTGAGAAAAAGTGCTATTACAATTTTTTATAGCATAATACACACTAAGAAAAGTTCAGTCAACCCAGGTGTGGAATGCCACTGTTGACACTGGTTGAGGAAATGAGCCCAGGAAGATAGAAATTATTTTATGAAACTCTATGCTTGCTTTTCTAGAGCACTCAAAAGATAACAGTTGATCCCAATGGTGACTTTTTTTAAAATGTAAGCTTTAACTCTTCCCTTAGGCTGAACTCTCAGGCCTTAGTATCTTTTCCTTCTTATTGGAAGTTTGTCTACAGAGAGAGAAGATGAGAATCCTAATATATATGAGACTAATTTTTTTAGTACAGGTAATGTATTTCTATCCATAGAATCCATTTTTCCAGATATTCAACACTTCTTTCAGAAGGACATAAAATATACTATACAATCCCTTGATACTGTAGGAAGTTAGCACCCGCCCCTAGAAAAATGAAATATCCTAAGAAATATTAAAAAGGCAGAATATTTCCCCTAAAAAGAGAAGTAGAAGCTAAGAAGTAGAAGCTCACCCCCACCTTTGTTAATGGCCAGGCCATTAAGGCCTGGGCCAGAATATGCTACATAACAAAGGCCTCTACCAATATCACCACCTGGCCTGGGAAGATTGCATCAGCCAGCATTCTGGTGAAGCCATGTGGTCCAGACAAAGCCTACAAAGTTAGCTAAGACCCCCGCCCCCAGGAGTCTGACAGCCAATGGCATACCTTTCTTACACAGGAACAGGAAACACTAAGGTGGGGCCCAACAGTGGGTATAAAACAATCGCATTCAGCATCTTGCTCCTTTTTCCTCCTCCTTTTCCTTCACCCAACATCTTGAAGCATGTGATCATCCTTTTCACTTTGGAGCTCCAAGCCATGTGGTCCTGTCCACCATTATACCATCTTTCCAAACAGCCTCCATGTTTCTAGTGTCTTTTTCCCCACTTGGAACTGAACCTAGAAGGATAATTCTTCCAACAATACAATACCATTACAGGTACCATTAGTAATATACAAGTTACCCAATAATAATAAACTTAATGACCAAAGCACCTCTTTAGATTCATCGTATAAGAAATCTATTGAATTGAAATCAACACAACAATGGCAGCTCCTACTTAGTAGCTAGCTAAGTGTACAGCTTGCTTGGTAGCTGTGGGTCATGCTGAAGTTGCTGACTTCACAGCAGAGGGCATGAACTGTGCCAGGGGTTCAGATCTCTGACACTCTCCTCCTAGAGGAAATCTAGCAGGCCTCCAACTCCATAGCTTCCCTCTCTCATTTTGCTGACATTTGAAATTCGCTGTGAGCCTTCATTGGAGGGTTTGGAGTAGTTACCTTTGACATCTACTTTACTGAAAGAGTCAGCACTGGAGGAAAAACAAATGCCTTGGCGACCACATCTTAAAAGCAAATCAAAATTATGAGAAATACGGAGGAAAAGACAACCGTTTAAAATTGCCAGACACAATGCAGATGGCAATCAACAATAAAGTATAGAACAATTAGAAAAGTGGAAAAGGTGCTGTTATATGCTCTCTCGTCCTCTCCTCAGACCTCTGGGTGCCTATATTTTCTCTTGCCAGGATTGCAGAGTCATGGTCTCTAGACATGAAGCAAAATAACAGGGCAACCAGAGGTTGTCTCGCACACAACAGCTGCAAGAACTATTGCTAGGTTTCTCCCCCCCCCCCAAAAAAAAAAAAAAAAAAGGTTTTTGCATATCCAAGATTCAAAGTTCTCCTTGGACATGATTATACTTGAGTAAGCTTCCTTGTAAAATGGCATCTTATGAGCCATATCACTGGAAATAGAAAGTTAGGTGTCTTTGTGTCAGAAAAGGAGTTACAGTTCAGATCACATATAGGCATTTAGCCAGGGTCAATCCTCAACGTAACTGAAGCAATTTTGATCAGAGATCAATTTGTAGACCAGAGTCAGGCAAGCTTTTGATAGCCACATTTGGAAGCATTGCTAAATTGGGAGGGTCTAAAGCATGAGGTTTTTTTAAATGTCAAGGTGATTGTACAGTGACTCAAAATAAATACAGCCCTTTGTTATTAGTTTCTTGTGTAGTTGTAGTCACTTTCTTTCATTTTTACCCCACCCCTGCAGGGACCTTCTGCTTATGCAATTAATGGCAGCAAAAATTCTCCAGTATCACTGCTGACCCAACTGAAAACAAACCATCCACTGGATCTTTCTGAAAGTATATACAAATTATAAAATCCTTCCATTAATTTACAGGGGTGATTAGCTTGTGGCTCCAGGGAAAAAATGCAAACCAAATTCTGTTTTTGTGGCCAAGTCAGAGGTGGTATTCAGCAAGTTCTGACCAGTTCTGGAGAACCGGTAGCGGAAATTTTGAGTAGTTTGGAGAACCAGCAAATACCACCCCTGACTGGAGATTTTATACTATCCTTCTGTGGCCCAAGCCACACCCACAGAACCGGTAGTAAAAAAATTTGAATCCCACCACTGGCCAAGTTCCTTCTAGTCATTATTACTTAAAAGTTCACAGTGCAGTTTCTCATTATTTCAGGGTGAAGCCTTAAAACTGGCATTTATTGCAACTGCACAAACAAAATCCCTCCCTACTTCTCCCCCATTTGCCTTACTTGGTGACACTGAGCCCCCCGCCATTTCAAGTAAATTGGCCACCGAGAGTTTGCATCTCTACTCTAAATGAATCACTGTCCTTTTCCTGTTAAGCTTGATGCCACATTTAAGTTTGCATTGGATAGACTTCAATATTGCCTGGGCAAAATCCACTATTATTAATTATAATCGCATAAAGGAGACAGTCCTAAGAATACTTGCAATCAAGAGAACCTTTGCCCTTGACTTGGGAGACAGACGCCTCTGCGTGTCTCACTTTTAATTGCTACTCTGGTGCCAAGCACCTAACAAAGAGCAACTTAAAACCCCCAACAACTATGAACAGAAAGCATTTTGTCTCTGGGTTCCACCCCCAGGAACAGATTGGGTTAGCAGGTGAAATCAGCCTCCCTTTACAAGCAGTGACTCAGGTACAGCCATCTCTTCCAGCTTCAGCATGAAGAGCGCCCTTGTCACTTTTGTGCTGTTTTACGGCATCAGTTATAATAATAAGATTATTGTTTAGTTGCGTGCAAAGCTCTCCTTGGCTATTCTTGTTCCTGCCTCCTCCCTAGAAACCACAACCACACTGTGCTGCACCTTTCCTCCACCAACCCCCCTCCCCCCACCTTATGAGTAAACATCAAGTAGCCACATGAGGTCCCTTGAGGAAGAAGTTCCACCTCGGCTCAGAGAGAGCCGTGCAGGTAAAAGCAGACAGAGTTTGCTGGCCCTGAAAGACTTCCTCACTGACTCAGCAGCAACAAGAGAGCAAAGAGGACAGGAAACAGTGCAGAAAGGCACTTCAACAGGCTAGCTGCAACCCTTTTCTTTGCTCATTTCTGGCCAGGTTTTTTTAACCAAGAAGCAGGATGGAATGTTGGTCTATGAATGCTGGGCTAGAAGTTATTCCCTATGTTGCTTCTAGAGCAAATCTCATTCTTTTCATCTTTGTGAAGTCGTACCTGGTTCCTCAGGCACATCCACACCTTCTGGTAGTTAAAGTACAAGGCAGTAGCAAGCAACCTCAGGGTTTTCTCCTGATTTTATCTCTGGCTTTAAGAGCTGGGGTTCAGGGAATATATCACCCCATTCAAACACACTAATAACTGAGATCAGCTGGAAGTCGTGAAGAACATTTCATTAATTATTACTCTGTAACACAGCCAGGCAATTAGTACCTCCAGATCATGACCTCAAAATTCCACAGCAAAATGGTCAAATGTTAATGTTGTGAAGAGAAGCAAAGTGGTTCCCTCAAACTTCCTTTCTCACTTTTACCTTTAATTCCTCCAAAACCCCAAGAAGAAATGTGTGTGTGTGTGGGGGGGGGAATCAGCCAGAGCTCTTCGACCATCTTCCAAATATCACTGCATCACTGGATGATCTCCAACCCTCCAGGAGTTGCTTTATTTAGAAATCCCTAAGCATTTCTCTATAACTTATCAACAGAAATAAAAACACATGGTCCCAGAAAGCCTTCTGTATTAATGAAGTTCTGCAAAACAACCATGACAGGACAGATAGCCCAGATTTCTAGATCCCTAGAGACTTAACCTTCCCTAAGACTAATACTCCTGATGGTAAATTGCTTTTAATTTGATATGAAAGAACAAATTGAGTACACCAGATGTCACAGACATGAGAGGCAAAGGGTGGAACTGATAGATTTTTTTTCCCACTGGCTTTTTGTTTGCACCTCAAGGTAGAATAAGGAATATAGTAACATCTGTCATGGGTCTGTAAGGGAACGAAGGACCAGATGTTTTCTGGTGCCAGAAATGCAGACTTTTAATAGGAATGGTTCATTCTTCGATGTATCCTGTATTGATTGGAAGGCAGACTGGGTGATATTTCAAGCAGTTATACTACAAATGCTAATAAACAATAAGAATGGGTAGAATCAGCTTGATTCATTGATTAAATTGCTTATATTTTGATAATAACAATATCATCTACCAAATGCAGCTTGCAGAGACATCAAAGGTCTGATAAATTGGAATTCATTTTAGTCCGAATAGTAGTATATGTAAAAAGTTGCTGAAGAGTCTGGTAAGTCAGAAAAAAAGTAAGTGGGAGGAAATAGAAGAATAAAGAATTGGTCCATTAAACATATTATTGATCCATTTTTAATTCAGAATTTTAAAAAAATCAAGTACAAACATAATTCTGTATTGGTTTTTGTGCACAGTAACAAACCCCTTCCTGAAAATGAAGAAACAAATCTATATAATTTAATTTTGTTCATGAATCCTTGCTAGTTAATGGAAGTTGCATGGCTCTTAGAAAGCTTTACTTTAGAGTATTCACTTAGGTCTGGATGCAATCATCTTATATTCCATCTCTCCTGGAATGCTAAAGAATGATCAGAAAAGCCCTAACGCTTTAGGGTAGAAATGGGGCTACTACTGGCAATATTTACCCATTGCACGAACCCCACTGTAACACCTGGGAAGAGAGATTTCAAGCACAATTCTCCAGATTTCATTTGGAAGAATAAATACTGGAGATGTAAAGCAAACAGTCCTGAGTCAAAAGTACATTCCATACCTATACTAAGTTCTTTTGCAGGATCTGTAAAATTGTTTAGTCCTTCAGATGTATTTTCTGACTGTATGGCCTCATGGATATTATTTTCTTACACAGGGGCCTTGGCACACACTTACAATAGATTTGTCAGATTGTTAGAAAAAAGATTTGCTTATATTAACCTTTGTTGAGTCATGTCATCTTAATATCCATCAGAAAGACAGTGCAATTCCTCAGTACATTTTTTTAAACACAAGACCATTTCGCATTTATACCCAAAGGTGGAAAAATGCTTAGAACAGATATATTATTATTATTATTATTATTATTATTATTATTGGTTTAAACAATGAAACAAAACACCACTGCCTTTTGTTACTTGCAATGACAATGCAGAACAAACTATACATTGTCAAGAGGCTCTGATCCACCTGCAGAGATTTACTGCTGAGAATTGTTTAGTACAGGATGTGTAAAGGGCACATTAGCTATTCAACCTTGCTGTCCAAGTAAATCTCTTAAAATCTTACCTATGCTCTTGGTTGTTATTTTTTTTAAAGATACTATTTATTTCAGCAACTTATAAAAGTAAATATTTCCAAATCCCTGAAGAAAAAACTCAACACAACTGTGTTGTTAGTCATTGTGTGTCAATAGAAGCCTTGAAGATCTCTGAGGCTGTCCCACTCTGTTCCATACAATACAATACAATACATACAGCAAAGTCCATCAATCAGAGATCACACTGGACAGTGACATTTTTAGAAACCTGCCTCAACAATGTGAAGAATTTTTTTAAAAAAATTCTTGAAAACTCATGATTACGCTTCATAACCAACAGCCTTGAAGAAACAGAACTAATTAGGGGCAAAAGGACAAATGCACAAAGAAACCTGCTTCCCAAGATCAACCCCATATATATTATGACAAGTTTTAAGAATCAGTATCATTAAATCAATACCAGCTCAGTTTTCTGCACAATAATGTAAAATACAATAGTCCAGTTGCAATTTCTACTGTGCAATATCTCCTGTTTTGATGCATTTTGAAGGTCAGTTTGAGAAAAGTCATTATTTCTTATTATCCAAGTCCTACATCCAGGGACATCATAACCACAAATCCTAAGATGGCTGTCCAGGAAGCCAGCTTTCCATTGCCACTAAAAAGAAAAAAAGAAAAGGCAATCATGTTGTTGGTTTTTTTTTTTTGCTAAGAATGACATTTTTAGAATTTATAAGACTTTAAAAAAATCTTCCTCTTGAAACTGAAAGATTTCCAAAAGTGCTCAACTAACTTCAAAAGCTTCTCTACCTTTCCTTCCATGTAAGGCAAGCTATTCATACTGCAAGAAGTAAATTGATTCTTAGATATTTATCTCTCAAAGTTTTCAGAACACCTGTGCGTTTCATATGTTTCACCACAGTATATCTACCATACAGACATATATTAATTTTGGGACTTGGCTGGAGTAACAAATTACTGTTTCCTGCTTGGATACTTCATTCTACCTTGATTCAAGACAGAACACACGCATTTTCCTTGCCTCCATGAAATGATTCTGGAATACAGTATTTGTTGATATTGGAGTACTGATATCATAATACTCAGTATCAATTTTGTGTTACTATTCAGCCATTCTACCAGAATAAATACAAAACTGAACATAGACATTGCTACCTGTGACATGACTAGGTTCACAGTTATCTCTGAAATTAAACTACTGGGTTCTACACTTGCACAGTCTATGGTTGATATAGTACTCCAAAGCCTATGATTTTCTAGCAGGAGCTTTACCTGACATTTAGCACTCGTGTTTAAACTGTCAGTTCAGAAAATTATCAAATATCCTCAGACCTCAATGTGGAGGTTAGGTGGATTTTTTTGAAGTCAAGATGGCCGTTTAGAAAGTTATACATAAGCAACCACTTTTCTTTATTGAGTAAGATCAAGAATTGAAGACAGAACAGTCCTTTTAAATATGGAAGGGCCCTGCAGTGTTGGAGAGATGTGGAAGTTGCAGTACTGTAGATGTTATATAAACATTCTGCTTTGACAGCTGGTAAAGAGATTGCTACTCTGAGTGGTCTGTGCTCAATGAGAAAACTTAGACAAATCATAAGAAAGCCATTTGGCGCATTTGTGACCCATCTGACTGTGATATACTGGTAACAAAGGCTCTGGTTGTTTCCCTTCACTGCAGAAAACAAACAATTGTGTGTCCTTACAAAATAAAGTAGTCTACTGAACATAGAATGTAATTTTTGATTTTTTTTAATTGGGTCCAGTCTGATGAAGTTGATCCTCAAACTAATGAATGTTGTAATTTTTCAGTTAATTGCAGCTCCTAGTTGCTTCAATAATGTATTCTGGATATAAGTGTAGAGCAGGGGTCCCCAAACTTGGCAATTGTAAGACTTGTGGACTTCAACTCCCAGAATTCCTTAGCCAGCTATGCTTAGCTGGCTGAGGAAATCTGGGAGTTGAAGTCAAAGTCTTAAAGTTGCCAAGTTTGGACACTTATGGTGTAGAGGGTCAACAATACAGGGCCAAAGAGGTAATTATTACCAAGTAGATTACTAATTACTGTTCAGTAGTACTGTCACTAATTATTAAATAGATTATTACTAAGCAGATAGTTATCAGTTACTAATTAGTAGTACCCTTTATTACAAATTATCGAGTTGATTATTACTAATTTCTGATTTTTACTACATACTAATTACTAAACTAAGAAAAAACAATCATTCAATTAAGTGGATTAGATTGCATTTTATTTGTAGGATTTTAAAGTTGATCAGATGCAAATGAACCAGGTTCTCACCAGATCTGTGCTTCTGGGATGATGTCATCCATCACTACATACACCATTGCTCCAGCAGCAAAAGCCAAAGCATATGGGAGGAGAGGAGAAGCTAGCGTTATGGCAAAAGCACCAAAGATGCCAGCTAGGGGCTCCACCATGCCACTTAACTGACCGTACCTGTAAAGCGAGCAGAGCAAAATGTCAGTCAAGAGACAGAGGATCTATTTCCTTCTCCACGCTATTGTTTCCCCCTCAACTGCCACCCTTTGGAGAACTCATAGTCAATATAAGATCAGCTCTTTCCATTCCCTCTGCCAAGTTTTTCTCTGGGGTCAGGGATGTTTATCAACCATTGAAAAATAGAGAAGCTTCTCCAAGTCATTCTTGAGCAAACACCTACGAGATCACCCCTCCTTTAGAGGTGACCAAAAGCTCTGGAGGAAAGGTGAGAAGATCAGGCAGCCCCTCTCTGTTCCTCTCTCTCTCTCTCTCTCTCTCTCTCTCCTGCCTCGTGTGTAATATTCCTAATTCACCTGGTCCACTTTGTTTCTCTACAAAACTTTCAGGAGGTTATAGACTCCACGTCACTTAGAAGATCTAAAAGTCCCAGTGAGGACCTTCACCTTCACTGCATATTTTTATACAATTGGCCTAACCCATCTAGAGGGAATTCAACTGGTGTCGTTGAACCCCTTCTCTTCACCAGAAGGTTTCCGACTAGAATAGCATGCAGATGTGTTAGCAAGTATATGGGAGAGCAATTTGAGGGCTTTGGAGAATGTGTGGTTGTTGCAGTTATTACAATTCAAGTGTATTTATGGATTTTTAAAAAATCAAAATTTCAAATCAATGCTGTTAGATTAAAACTGGAAGGGGGCAAACATTAGGAAATTAATATAACAGACCAACCAGGGAGAAATAAAGCCGCATTACAGGATGTGCATAAAGTGTAGGGAGGCATCGAGGGGTTTTTTTTGGAGGAAGCTCCTCACATGAGCTCTCAGAGGTTGATACATCGAAGTATCAGAACGTGGGCGTTATAATCAGTGTTGAAAACTGAGTATATTTTGAGCTATAATTCCCACAATTCATTGGTACTGACCATGCTGATTGGTACATTTGGAGTGTGCCCAATTCTCTGAGTTTATCACAAATATTTCCTGAGTTGGCAGTAAAAAGTAAAGCCTAGTGTGACCCAGCAGTTTATTTCATTTGTGGGCAGCAAATGCTATGAAAAAATTCTTTTGCACACGAGACTCTTCGGAGACCACAAAATTGTCTCACTGAATAAAAACTTTGAGAACTACCAAATAGTGTTTCCCTTGCATTAGAGCGATAGTATGACTCAAAGCCATTTTGATGCACTTTAGTCCTAACTATATAAAGCAGACAACAGTGAAGAGAACACAAAGAAACACTGGAGTAACAATTTGACTTGCTTACCAGAAGGCTCTCCATGGTGAAAATCCAGCCCCATGCAAGGGAAGGCTGACAGCCAGCCCTTCTGGAAAATTCTGAATGCCAATCCCAATGGCTAAATTCCTATACGAATAAAATGAAACAGATTTATATAACATTGACGTTTGTGTAAGGATGGGGGAAAGTTACAAGGATCGTCCTCTACTGGAAAAGAAATCCTTATGATTAAACACATCTCTTTAATGTCAATGTTTTTAGCCCTTGAGGCCTAATGTAATAACTAATGCTTGGCATCCAGCTCATGATTTTCATCTTCAAAGTGTTCCTCAACTTAACAATGCCTCTGGGACGCAAAGAGACATAGAAGTGGGTGGAGAGAAAACTTGTCAAAAAGAAGTAAGCTTAAAATAGCTAACTCAATTGAATTCTAAAAGCTGAAGCACACACCAAAAACACTCCCACAATGAAAGGGAAAAAAAATGGCAGCGGCACATTGTAAAATGGTAAGAAAAGTGCTGAGGCTAATGTTCCCTAATGTACACGGTGTATTTTTTTCCCCACAGGCAAAAGATACTGAGATATTGACGCTTAAACTAACCTTGCTCTTTTCTCCAAAAGTATATTTAGAGCTAAGTCATAAACATAGACAACAACATGTTGCATTCAAGAAATTCCCCATAAGATTCACTCAGAGGTGGAGAATCACAAAATTAGACAGAGTAGGCAAGAATGAAACAGTAGGAATCTGGAGCTCCTTACATTCTTAAAAGGTATATCACACTCATGAGTGTCCATATATGAATTATAAACTTTTTCCAAACACCACCAAAGAACAGAAGAATTTTCTGTGATCAAGCAAGCCACATCAATCATTCCCAAAGCTACAACAGGCCGAGATATCAAATATCTACCCCTCTTGACATAGCTCAACTCTACTTGGGCTGCATCAGTCTTCTCTCTTTAAAGAGGAAACAGTAGACGCAGCTTTGATTGACTACTTGTGATCAAAAGAAGGGGGACTTTGAAAGGGGGGGGGGTGTTCAAGGCTTTGTAGCTAGATTAAGGTTGAAGGTTTTACATTCCTGCTAAAACACAGCTTTACATATCACTTTATTTAAACAAAAATAGAATAAAAGCTGTTTTGACCACAATTGGCCCTTCTGCATGACTTTCTGTATCCACCTTCTGTAATATGGTTTTGGTATATATTTTGCCTAGATAATTGTTGGTTTGTGAGGGTTTTTTGTTTTGTTTTTGTTAAGACAGAATTGAATGGACTGCATGTCACTGCAATTTCTCAAATCTGATGTCTTTGACATTCTAGGTTTAACATCCCTTTTCGTTCAATACAAATTTGCATTCTTGGACTGGAGGAAAGTGCACAACCTTCATCATTGTAACGAGGAGTACAGTATTTGTATTCTTAAAAGTAGAAGGTAATATGGGTACACTCAGAAAGTGAGAAAAGTATTGGTGGCAATGCTTAACAGACAAAGGCTGGGATATTTGAAAACAGAATGTACACATATGCCTTTGAAAATAAATCACCCACTTACTTTATGACTTATATCTTCTAATTTGTCTGTTGAATATACAGGCTTAATAAAATAAGGGCAAATGTATTGCCTGGGTTTGAAATCTAATAATATGTAAACAAATATAATGGCTACAACGTACTGTACAATAAGCTTCTTAAAGTTGTTATTGTACTGTAAACATGAAGTAACTGATTACAACTAATAATTATTTTTAAAAAGACAACTGACCAATATTGACATGTCAGGATCTAACAGTTCATCTATTAAGTGCTTAACTGCCAATGAGTAGAAACATGATTTTTCTAGGAATGTCAAACCACCAAGATTTAATTGTCCTTAAAATAGACATGTAGCTTTGAATTTGAACAAGTTTCATCTGAAGAGGTAAGAAGAGAGCAATGTGGTTATGTAGACACAATATTGAATTTTAATGTGAGAAATCTAGATTGTAATCTCTTTCCAACCACAAAGCTCACTGGGTGGGCTTGGGCAAATCACAATCTCTGCAGAATCTATGTTACTGGCTTACTGAAAGGATAAATGAACAAAGAATTGCAAAGTGCTTTATGTACATAAAATGTACCTGCCCTTTGCTTTCCATCACCAGTAGTGCCTTGTACCCTTTTCACTGCCTCTATTCTTCAGGGGAGCTCAGTTTTGGCAGCCATTACACAATATCACTTGTGTCTAAACATGTTATGTTAAAAAAAAATTGGAAGCCAAGAATGGGTTATTAATAATCATTAGGTGAACAGATGGATCACTCAGGTAAAAAGAACAGAAGAGGGAAAGCAAGAATAGATTTCTCAGTCATATCTCTACAAATATTAATATGCAATCTGGAGACAAGTATTTTCTTGTAACACAACAATCATGCTATTTATGATTTAGCTGTGATTATGTCCCCATATCCCTCACAATCAATTTTTCGTCACATTTTTTTTGCTTCTAAAACTGTAACAAGATATATTTTAAAAACCAATTCTTGGAAAGAAAATGATTGTACTTGGAATAATAAAATGTTACTTCCCTATAGGTATTTTCCAAGAAAGAGTCAGGGGATTAAAAGTAGCTAAATTCTAAAAGGTTACAGACAAAATGTTGAGTGAATCAGCCCGATTGTTCTCACAGAACAGAAGGGTGTATTAATAAGAAGTCAGCTTTACCAGCAAATGTTTGAGTTTCATTCCATTCCAGCATCGGTGGTATAGGAGAAAAAGAGCGCCTGTTACATTACGTGCTTGGCATGGATGCTGTTGAATGAATGCTTATGAAACTGGGGCCACTTGCTCTACGGTGGGATGCCTGCCTGCAAAATTTTTCTAAAATGGAATTTTGAAGGAAACTTAAGCTCCTCTTCTTGAGTTTCCTTGTTGGGTGATGGAATTTGCTGCTCTCAAGCATGAAGGATTAACAACGCCAGAGGGCAGGCTCCAGATGAGAGTGGTGCAAACCTTTCTCTTCTCTCCAAGGCTCTACCTACCAGGCTCAGTCATGCCCTATAGTAACCCCTCTTACGCCACACACGCTTACAGTATCATTTCAGTCCAAGTAACCTAAGCCAAGCGCCATTCAAAACCCAACCAGGTTACACCTACGATAATGTTGAAAGGTTAGCACAGTTGCCTTTCCTAAAGGCATCTTCTGTGCAACTTCTGCCTGTGTAGGCTTGCCCCATTCTCCTGACTGGACGGCCAGGTCTTTACAGTACATATATTATTTGGGATATGGCAGAGTTATACTTGAATGAAAGGAGCAGGCCAGTAAGATTTCACAATCTCACTTAGCAGCATCTACACTTAGCATCAAAAGGAAACAATAGCAGATTTTAACTGAGCTCATGTGTGCAGGCAGCTGTGTTATATAAAGGGCATGCTTTTTCCTGTTCTTCAGAGAATTGTGAATGGGAAAACTGATAGAAAAGTTGAGTTCTGGGGCAGTCTCTGACACATATTGGTTTGCGTGATGTGCTGACTGAAAAGAAATGCCACCTATGAGTACAGAACAGATCCACTTATATATCTTAGGTATTGTGCAGTAGCTGGATTCATCACTAGGCAGCCACCAGCAAGCACTAGGAGCAATTATCTCCATCTTTGGTGGCTTTAGGGATTTAGAGCCTGGGGGAGGTTACCCCTCTGAAACATGGAGCTGAAAAACAGCAGGGCTTCCTCCTATGCCCTCTGTTTTTCTCCCTTACCAAGAGCCTCCCATCTCTTCACAAAGAGGGACTTCATTCTTCAGACAGAGAAAACGCAACAGCTGCAAGAGAGACCCTTTCTGACAGATTAAACTCTTGCTTCCTATTAGCAAAATCAGACTTGGGATGGAAAGGTGGGGGGATCACTCCCTGTTGCTTAGCTTTTTAATAGCTGACAGAAAGGAGGAGGCCGGGATAAACTGATGAGAATCAAGGGAAGAAGGGAGAGGAGGGAAAAATCATATTTTCAAGAAAACAGGGAAGCCGCTATCTCCACGCTCCCCTCCTCCCTTGCCTCTCCTTAGTACAAAACAGCTATTACTAGCTCCAACCACAACAAACTAATGAGTGGGAGAGAGAAATGTGAATGGAAGAGGCTGTGCTAAAGCAAACCACAGACTGCCACTTTCCCCTACCAGAAGGCAAAGCCTGTCTTGACCTTGCTCTAGTTATTGCCTTCAAAAGAAAAAGAAAGAGCAATTAGGTGAATCTTTGTTTTGGTTTGTCCTGTAGAGAAAGGATGGGTTAGTTAGGTGATGATGACTGAACGGGGAAACAAAAGGAACTAGGCAAAAGCTGAGCTAATTATATGCATTAAACATCTTGATGAAATAGGGAATCAAACAATGCCTATTCTTCTTGGTTTTACTTTTGAATGGAAAATACATTTGTGCAAGGCAGTGTTTCTTTTCTTGACTTTCAGGGAGTGTCTGATAATTGCAAACGATGGCATGTTCAAATGGAACTGCCATTGGAATTTACAAACACTCTTGAAATATGGAATTGCCAACATTTAAAGTCCCATTTACTGCCAGTATTCTGGACGTTTGGAAAGAATTTCTCTGTGGCTGTTAGTCCAAAATACCATCAGGCTCTATGTCTCTTTTCCATGCTAGCTAACCACACCCAAATTACGAAAGCTACCAATAAGCCAAATCTGTTGTTAGAACAGAATATATTTCATTGTAAAAAGAATAAAGAGCCAGATGCTGAAGCTAAATGAAGCACATTTTCTTAAGTCCAACAGCACAAGATTAAGCAGAACTCACAAAAATAGAAGCATAAAAATATGAGGGTGAAGGATCTGTCTTAACTTGGGAGTAGCAAAAGAAGGTCTCTGGAATCGCTCTTTAGTGATCCAGGATCCAGGTAGGGCCTTTCTTCCGACAGAGCATCTGAAGAAGGTGAGACACTCCTAACAAAGCCATATAATTGTTTCAATGATCTCTTTGCAAACATCCCTTCCTCGTGGCTATTCAGTTCACAACATGAGGTAGGATCTTCAGCCTGTTCTTTAAAATGTTTCCCGGGAAATCACTATTAGGACAAAGTTCTTAGAAATTAATAATATTAGAGAGTCCATCTTTTCGAACCCATGTTTTAGA